CTCTGGTGGCAGCATAGGGAGTTGCAGCCAGAAAGGATTTAATTTACCCTTCATACTTGTTTCACCATATATTTTCTACTTAAGATGTAATTTCACATTCTAAAGCATGAAATGACAAAGTAAATAGTCTCAATATAATTTTTAATGGCCAAATATAATGATGTTGAGATAAACTTTGTAATACTTTTTTACAAAGTCTGTGTGGCCCAGCGCGGGGATGTAGAGTGAGGCAGGAAATGTGCGAGCCATGAAGGCATGTGTTTAATACTTTTTTTTTTTGGGCGACAGTAGCTCAGTTGGTAGAGCATTGGCCTTTGAGCCAGAGGGTCGTGGGTTCAAGTCCGACTCCCACTGTCTGCTGTCGTTGTGTCCTTGGTAAGACACTTAACCTCTGGAAACACCAGCCACAGTGGGGCGGCTGCGGCTGTAAAGTGCCAAACTGCCGTTGTGTCCTTATGCAAGACACTTTACCCCCATTGCCTAGAATGAGTCTGGTGTATGTGTGAATGGTTGGTGGTGGTGGGAGGTGCCGATGGCACATACTGGTTGCCTGGGTTCTGTCAGTGTGGCCCAGGTGTGCAGCTGTGGCTACAGTAGTAGTTTATCACCACCGTGTTTGGAGTGAAAGAATAGTGCCATGTAAAGCGTCTTTGAGTGTCCAAAAAAAGCGTTGTATAAAACCGATGCATTATTATTATTATTTTTGTATGCGAGTTAAGTTTCACGTTTTAGCAGACACTTTTATCAACCCATTTGTTAACCTACTTCACACAGTCTATTCCCTTGCCGCATCAAATGGTCCAAAGCCACAAAACAAGTCAGTCAATAGTCAATAATTCAGCCCACATCATCACATTCAAAGATCACACATTGCACAAATCCATATGCTATGCGGCAGAGGGCCAGAATAAGGGTGAAGAGCCGGCGAGTCAAACAAAATGGCATTCTGTCATAAAAATCAAGCTGTAGGTGAAAAACGATTACGCAGTCTATCACCGGCGAGAAGGATAAATGCACAACGTAAATGTTCTCATGACATTTTGACTCTTCTCTCTCAAGCTCCGCCCCTCCGCACGTCCGTCTGCTTTCCATTCCTCTAAAAGCTCCAGTGAGGTAATGCCTTTTTGGAGAAACGCACCCAGTAACCCCTTGAAGCCTGTTTGTCGGCAAATGCATAAAAATATACTGTGTAGGGCCTTGAATGCATTAATGCAAGTGTGCGTTTGGGCCGTGTGTGCGAGGAGTTCAATAGGCCACGTCTGACATGTGCAAGCATTCTGTGCAAACATTGTCCAGCGGTCGGCCCCAGCGCTCCAAACCCACTATTATGACTTCTCTCTGTAAGCCAAGTGTTCCAGTGATGGAGAAAGTTAAGACGCATGTGAAGAAAAAAAGAGCTATACATGGCAGCTCGGGTAAATACAGTCAAACCAAAAGTCCCGTAGGAATGGCGCTATCAAAAGTAAAAACGGGCAAAAAAAGTGTCGTCGTTGTTAAATGCTAGAGGAGAAAATGTAATGAGAGATGTGCGCACAATGGGCCAGACAAGAGGAGCAGGGATAGCAAAGGTTGTCTGAGTCCATGTTTTGGTTTTGTCTTTTTCAGAGGAGGTCGTGGATGGAATTACAACTGTCTGGGTTGAAGGAAAAAAGTAGAAAAACTTGCACAATGCATGAGATATGGGGATTCCAGCTACTGCATTATAGAAGGCGATGTAAAAAAATATTCAAACTTAAGAGCATGTACTTTATCTATTACTCTCGCAATGGACACGCCATTCAAAAGAATGAACTCAGTCTGAATGGAAGCAGCTCATCAGCAGCGAGATTGGTATCTTTCAAGTCGCTTAAATGATTGAGTCAGACAAAATTAGCATTCATTTTAAACCCAATCTTTACAGTCATTAATAGTGGTTATGTGAGATTTCATAACACTTTGAAGCAACTTTTGTTAAAGTTAAACTCATCATTCTATCAATGTGCAGAAGCCAGTACTTTTCCCTTGTTTTGTCTATCTGAAGGCCAAGCTACATGGCACCGTGGAAGCTGCTGATTGGAGGTCTCCATGCCTCTGCTCTGTATAATACACTTGCATTCTATTGTATCTGTGATCGTGTGCTTTGTTCGTGCTGTCTCTACCATCGACAATAAAACATGTCTTCTGTCTGAATGTAAGACGCGATCCCAGACAATGCCATCTTCTTCAGGTGGTGGAAGGATGCGGGCCTTGTCTGTAACATCTACAGAACAGAAGACCTTTTTTTTTTTTTACACAAAAATGTTTTTTTTTTTCAAGCCAAAACTGAAAAACCCCAAGAGAATGCATCTGGACCAGCACACTTGGACAATCTGCACAGCCCCTGATTCCAGTCAGGCTGTGAGCTGCTGAGACATGGACAGCGTCCTCTTTTGCATGGACACCATTTGGAAAAATTGGATTACACAATTTGGACATAATTTGGACTGAATTGAATTGCTGAATCTGGACACTAAAGCTGAAACGTGTGATTGAAAGACACGTCACAGAAGAATTCATGGCTTGACACAAATGCAGCCTGAAGAAACCAACACGGAGAAGTGGGAGAGACTGTTTTCAAAGCAATATCTGGAACCACCATCGACTGATGAAGTTTGGTATTTTACTGAAGATTGTTGACAAGTTTTATGAAAGATCTGAACATGTTTTATGAGTTTTCTGAGTTTTTGAAGTATTCCGAGTTCTGAGTTTATTGAAGTACAGAGTGAAGTACCGAGTTTATGAGTTTTTGAAGTATTGAGTTATGATGTTATGTTGCTGTTTATCGATCCTGATGGTCACACGTGAATGTATGACCAGAGGGGGGAATGTGAGATTTCATAACACTTTGAAGCAACTTTTGTTAAAGTTAAACTCATCATTCTATCAATGTGCAGAAGCCAGTACTTTTCCCTTGTTTTGTCTATCTGAAGGCCAAGCTACATGGCACCGTGGAAGCTGCTGATTGGAGGTCTCCATGCCTCTGCTCTGTATAATACACTTGCATTCTATTGTATCTGTGATCGTGTGCTTTGTTCGTGCTGTCTCTACCATCGACAATAAAACATGTCTTCTGTCTGAATGTAAGACGCGATCCCAGACAATGTCATCTTCTTCAGTTATATCTCAAAAGTTCAATCAAAATGATCTCAGCAATTTAGTATATTAAATGATCTGTTAATGCCTTATGTAAAGAATGATAAGGACTTGGATCAGCCAATGCAGTCTTTTAATTTTTTTGTCAGGAATCTTCAAGGTATTCAATGAACTATGTATACTAAGAACTACGGTATAATAAATAATAAAATGTATGCATTTGGCTTTTACTTTATTCTTGTCTGTATGGAAGGGTCATGTTGACTAATAACCAAAGAAATACAAAAAAAAAACCTGTATTTGAACAAATGTATTCCAGATTTAATTCTGTTCAGAAACAAGCTTGAAAAGTTACAAGCAGTGCACTTTATACATTTGCATCTCAAGTGTTGCATTTCTAACCTGAAACACTCCAGAACACTTCCTTTAAGGCTATTTGTGGTTCTTGTTTCTTACGTGTTAATTTGGAGACTTGCTTATTGATTGCTGTAATACAATTTTTGCACTTGTCTCGCTCTTTGGCTGCCAGCGACACTCTGTCTTAGTCGCTGTTCTCACTTTAAGAGCCATACAAGTGTCGAGCTGGTTGCCTGCCTGCCTGCCAGCTAGCTGCTGCTATAAAGGCACAGGAATGAGGGAGCAATCTCATTAGGGGAAGATTAGGCCAACATCTGTTTGCTGTCCTGATGCCTCTACTGCTTCTGCTGCGGCTACAAAGAGTGCTAACGCTAATGCCAACAGTAGTGAGCTAACAAGCAAACCTAAACTTTTTATGAGATGCAAATCATGGCTGTCATTGGCTTGAAGTGGAGGAGTGTAAGCAGGCTGTGTGTGTGTGTGTGTGTTTTGTCGTAGCCGCATCAAATGGTCCAAAGCCACAAAACAAGACCCGGGCAAGCCCAAGGGAGATGAGTAACCGGCTGGAACTCAAACAAACCTAATGTTGTAAGAGGGAAGAGCAACAAGTGGGTAGGAGACAGGACGGAGGGAGAAACAGAGGAAATGACAGCGGACGGGAGATGTAACATTGGATGCATTGTTTGTGGTTTGTTTGGAGAGAGTGTAATCAGAAATGTGCAGTCGGTCCAAAGACAGGACTATCTCCTCAGACTATTGGCCAATGGAAAATGTAAAAGGTACATTCCTCAACTGTCCTGGTCGCAGCCTGCTTTTTGCTTGGGTTCATCTAATGAACTGGTGGCAAACTACCACCAAATGTGTAGGCAAAGTGTGTAGAAGTATTTCGTCTGCATTGGAATTGTGGCAAATATTGGTAAACATTTAGTTACCAATATTTTAATTTTAGACTTGATTCTGGATTTTGCCTGGATTAAAAAGTGATTTGGTAATTTCTTTCCAAATTGAAATAATGCAGAACCAACTTTTGTCACAGTCAGAATGCGTCCTTGAAAATCTTTTGAAAATATAATTTCTCTGCACTGTTCGACATCAGCAGCCAAAACTGAGAGCTGATAATGACCATACTGTATAGGGACCATAGACTTCTCTTACTCTAATTCACTTTGACGGATTTTAAATAAAAACAGCAAACAAGCAATAATTTCTGGCAGCTTGGGCCTCTTCTTCTCTCCAAAAGACAGAGCAGAGGGAGTGGGGGTGGATGAAATCACCCTAACAGATGTGATTGAAATCAATATTACAATATACCGCACATACATAAAAAGTAAAAAGTCACACGGGGAAAGTTGTCTTGTGACGACTGCTGCCCTTGCCCTGACGGAATAATTGCCTTTAACGCATTTGACTTTTTCAGATTTAATTTCCTTGCGACTCGTGCTCATCCTCCTTCTGAGCCCTCGCAGTGTTCTTATGTTAAAATTATATCAAGAGCTAAAGGTAGGAGGGGTCTTGAGCTGTCAAATGCACAGTTATAACATGAACCATCTGGTGGAGTCGTGGGGGAGAGAGAGAGGGGGACAGCGGGTGAGTAAAGAGGTGGAGGAGGAGTACGGGACCAGAGGTGGAGGAGTGGAAGGCGGAGAGGGGGAGGAGAGGAAGACAAACGCTGGGAAGAAATAAAGGTGTTGCAGTGGAGACGAGACAGCAGGAGAGGAGGAGTGGGAGCCTCGAACACTCTGAGATTATAAACCCAATGCTGAACAATACCAGGGCTGCCGTCCAAAAGCAACGTGAAGTTTGACACACTGATGCTAATTGTTCCAAAAGTGTGCTCACTCTAAGCTTGAGCAGTGTTTATGCAAAGTAATGGGTTAATATCATCAATTTAACTTTGAAAGTGTTTGTAAAAGCTTTCTTTAAATACATGTTTCTGCTAGTTCAAAACGTATAATTACTATCATCATGAAATTAGAAATACAAAGAAATATGCACTCACCTTTTTCTTGAGTTTTTATTTTTTCATGTATTTTTAGAGCTGGGGCACCAAACAAATTATTTCTATTAAAATAAATTATGATTGTAGCAACAGAAAGGGTCTTGTAAAAGTCAAATGTTTTGAAAAATCAGGCCATAACTTGCGACAGAGGCCATGCATGTGAAAACTGGTAATAGAACCAGAAATTTTTTATATCTATGAGCTAGTTGAATACATTTTGATTTAATTGGATGAATTACATACTTAAAAAGTTGTTGGTTTGAAAGTTGCGTACCCCAGCTTTAATGAATAATGATATTTCATGCATCTACTGCGACATAGTCCCAATAAGAGATACAAAACACACATCTTGAATTCATATTATCTTAGTTAACCTAATTGTGTTGTTAAATAATACAAAAACGTGTCTTACCTGAAGTTGAGGTGGCAGCATGGCGAGGCATGGAAGAAAACAAAAAGATTTTAATTAGCACCTGACCAATAAAAACTGTAAACACAATATTCACTGTAATGGCTGCACTAATTTCACTAATCAATATGTGTTACTCCCTTTGAAGAAAACAACAATTCAGGAAACACTGTCCTAAAAGACAACACTTTCTTCAAATCACCATCTAGACAACATAACTATTTACTGTGAATTGAATGGCTCAATGCGCTTCACAATAACAGTCCATGTTGCAGGTATAAAGGGGCAACAAAGTGCCATACAAAGCAACGTTTCCAGTGAAGACGGGTTTGATTCACAACAATGAAGGAGCATCTCTAGAAGTTTGGCAAATGTCAATATTATCATCACAGCCAATTTGTCTACACTGCAAACAGAACACGAGCACCTAATCAAGAGCCCTCTACACTTTCCCTTTTCAGGCATGGCCTCTGTCAGGTGACACAGAAGCCGATCGGACCTGACGTGAGGTCACTGACCCCACTTCCTTCTATAATTGGCCCTAGGTGATAAAGTTCCCTCCTGGGCAAGCGAAGATTGGGGTACAAGACACGTTGAGAGGGATGAGAGAGCGGTGCATATCGGAGCAGTGAGGAGGCCTCTATGTGTATATGGTAACTTGCTAATTAATTTTAAGAGCTCAACATTCCCCTTTCCAGCCTTCACTAGAAACAGATGTTAACCCTGAGGAGGAGGGAGGCGGAAAAAAAAGAACAAGTCCTATATTTGTATGAAAAGAGAAGGATGATCGCTGTGAGAGTGGTCTGTCTCTATCTCTGACAGGTGAAGCAGATGACAGAGCAATTTCACACCTCGCCGAGCGGACGACAGACTCTACAGTGTTAGCACAGCGCAGAACAAAACATCCTATTTATTTGCCACACACACATCTACATCAAGGAGAAGGAATACAATGGCTACTTTGTGCAAGCATGTTCACGTTTCAGCACATTTCTAGTAGTTCACTTAAGAAGGAAACAGTTGGAGGAGGCTTTGATGGACACGCATGGCTTGGAAATTGTGTAAATATAAAGATGAAAGAAGAACTGTTTTTTAATGTTGATATATTTTTGTGTTTGTTGTATTGTCAACGCATATTAAATAAACAACCCAATACAAAGAATCAGTTGTAAAAGCTAGAGTGCCTAACTTAATAAATAACACATTTTATTAGGTAAAATGTTGTGAACAAGTTAGACACCAACATATCTTATCAATATCTCTTTATAGAAAACATGTGAGTCACCATTTGACGCTTTGGGCTGAGTGCTGATTTGCTGCTTCTGTCTAAAAAAGCTACATGATCAAAAATACATGCAAGTGATACGTAGATCCAATATGTTGTGCGAGCAGGGAACACAGGTTTTATTACATAGCTAATATTTTAGTGGTTTGAAAGTCAGGTACCCCAGCTTTAATAAACAACAAAAGAATTTCAATTGTGCCATTAAAAGCCATTGGCTCACAGACAGCACATAGCAGGCGCGGTGGTATGTGGTGCTAGTTTCAGTTGTTAAGTTGTCACGAGTTGTGTGGCGTGTAACAGCAGCCTAATGCACCAGGGATGTGGAAGTGTTGCGGCCGTGACTTGTGCGCAGGGGGTCGCTCTGACTTAGTTATGTGTGTCTAAGGGTTAGTGGGATTTAAGGGGGTGAGCGGGTTAGGGAGGTCCGGGGAGGCCCAGTTGTTGTAACCTGTGACCTGGCGGCACGCTCCGGGGCCTCCCGGAAGCCACTTCAAACGCACCCAGCGAAGGAGCCCCTCGTGCCCCAGGGAGAGGAGACGGGAGGGAGGGAGCGCATGATTCAGCTGTCATCGCTGTCACAGGCTCAAGTGTTCGCTGCAACCCACTGACAAGTTGTCCATTTGTTTCCACTCACTCCTACTTTCACATGTATGCAAATCCCCAGGCTTTTTTTATTTCAAAAGTCTAATCTAGACAAAATTACCCAACCTTGATTAGATATTTCAGAATGCGTTAATGAACTATTAAAGCAGCCATGTTTAACAGTTGTAGTAGTCATTAAGGCTGAAATGATGAATCAAGTCAATACGTTTAATAGAAAAAAAAACCACAATGCTTCTATTACAATTTTGTTGCCACAATTTACTGGTTCATTTGTAAGTAAAAAGCGCACAGAACTCATGTGTTCCTCTTTTTCACAGAGAAATTTTACATATTAATCATACCTACAAAATATATTGAATATGCAGTTAGCGATGTAAAAATAGTTTATAGCTAAGATGCATATTCCCTGCATCCCTAATAGTATCATTTCCATAATTTCCTAGTTGTTATGCCTTTTCTAGAGATGCTGATCTTTTTCATGGTAAAATGGCGCGCTTGTGACTTTGCTAATCAGAGTTTTCCGCCTGCTTTTCATTCGCACACCCCTGGGTAGCTGACTTTTGGATTGGACATTCCCCGCAGTGCACACTGTGAGGAGAAGGCCACATTTTAAACATGAAAAAAACCTGTAGAGCGTTTTCCTGTTGTGTGTGCCGCCCCACAGAGCTGTAGACACCAGACACACTCCCACCTCCGTGTGTGGTCTGATTAGTCAGGCCCCTGCGGTTCAGCCCTGACCCAAGGAAGATTCAGCGCAGGCCAGGACGCAGGGGAGTGTGCGTCCAGTGAGACGCGCCAGTAGATGAAAACTACACTATGGATTTTTTTAAAAACATATGCAAATGTATTTACTATTACTAGCCATTTCTAATATATTCATATTTATAAAAGACAGTGCTCACAATTTCTTTTTTTTTTTTTTATAAACTGTACCTAAAACAGCTACAGTATTTAAAAAATTCCTTGCTTATAATGTCCAGTGCAGATCATCGTTGAAAATCAGATTGATAGAGATCATCAAATAAACTACATTAATTTGACGATTGCTTGGAATTGCTGGATTACTAAGAGAACTTTAAACAAAAGGTAGTGAACAAATAAGACCACAACAACATGCTCTGATTAATTATTTTGCATACTTGTAAGAAAGATCCCTATGAATCAATATGTGATGCTTTGGACTGAAAGCTGATGGCTGGGTGAGGGTGGCCCTCTTGTTTTTCACTTTTCTATCTGAAAAATCTGATCTAATGTTGTGACAGAGGTCAACAATACATGCATGTGAACTGTTTGAGAGCCTGGAACAAGATTAAGTTTAGTACAGTTTTATGGTTTGAAAGTTAATTCCCCAACTGTTGAATGTTTGTGTAAGTTTGCACCGTAATTCTAACATTATTTTTGACCCTATTTTTCCCTTTCAAATCTTACAAATACTTTTGACTTCCATTGGACATTGGGAGGTAAATCTGTCATCTTGCAGCTTGCTCTCTCGCTGAAAGATCTACCCAGTGAAAACATTAACATATAGCAAATGTCCAGCAGGCACCAGAGATTTCCCATCTCCATCCTGAGCTCCACTACAGGCTGAGAGCGCAGCATTTACTTTGGCCATGTCAGCAGCAGCAACCACAGTGTGTCAGAGTGAGATTTCCTGGGTCAGGCCTGTGAAAGCTAAAACAGTATGAGTGTGGTCCATCAAATATCCATATGATCCAAAACAGAATCTGATGAAAGGTCAGGTGGGCATGAAGTAGGGCTGCAAAGAAAAATCCAACTGCTATTGTTCAGATGAAGATTTGGCTTGCAATTTCTGTGATGAAGCCTGGGAAATGCTCAAACTGCACTATGAGAATTTAAATGTGGGAAAACTGAAATGCTTGTAGTAATATGTCTTCTTTATTTTAAAATTCTTTCTGTTGAAATTGAATGGAAACCAAATTCTCAATTGAAATCCCATTGTGCAAAACTATGAAAGAAATTGCCTTTTCCATTAGCACACAAAACTGTCCAAATGCACTCAAATCAAGAGGAACACCACCTTATTTAAACTGTTGATCCTTGCATTTCAAAAGATTGTTTTTGCATTCTAAACTCAGAGAGAGCCATAATTGTTATAATATGCAACACGATAATTTGCTCTTGGTAAAGGAAAGGATGAAATCTAAATAATTGCAATCAATTCAATTTCAATTCAATCATCCATGAAGTTTAGTCAAGAGAAAAGAGTCTAGCCCGTGTAATATTCCTTCTGTAGGCCGCTGAGGCACTCCGCACAGTGCTGTAGACGTTTCATAAACAAATATTGGCCATATTGGTGAGAACCACTGGCAGCGCCTGTGTGATGGGCTGATACGGGCTCCACACTTGCACCAGATTGGGCTGTGTGAGCTTCATGTTCGAACTGTCAGAGCATTCGTCTGCTGCAAGCTCTCTGCATACACTGGGCGCGCGCATATCCACACACACGGGAAAATATTGACACAAGCTGTTGAAGGCAGAACTATTTTGTGCAGCTAAACGCAGGGAGAGGCCTCACATTGCAGTCATCCAAATCCTGGCCCTCTGTGCTTCTGTTTTGGGTAAATGTCTTGCTTCCATTCAAGGCCTGAATCCATAACACATGCTAAACGTGCGCGCCCATGGTAATTTTCTCTGGATGGCAGTGGAGTGTGCTGTTATGAATGTATTAGGCCTGTGTGCAATTTCCAGGCTGCCCAATGCAACACATTACATGCTAAATGTGAAGTATAGCTTACTATACTGAAAATGCACCTGTTTGGCACCTTTTGTCACAGGTATCTAGGGCTGTAATCGACTGGATAAATTCTTCCTCAAGACATGCTTTGTCGATCAATTAGTCGACTAAAAAGGGGGTGTGGCAAAAGCTGGAAAGTAGACAATGTTAGGAATAAAATAACACACAAAAAGGCTATCACAAAAGAAAAGCAAACTTTGTGAATTGAGTGTTTGATCTGGCTTGAATATTAAAGAAAATACCTAAATCTTCAGCAAAAAATAGAAGCCAATGAAAAAATGAGCAGTATTCCCAGAGAAATGCTAACATTCTGTTGACTGATTAACCGATGAAACAACTAAATACAGAGGGTCCTCAGTAGGAAATATGAATAAATATGTA